GAGGCGCAGTGGCGCTGGACCGCAGAGCACGCTCGCTCACGCTCGCCCGGTTGCGCACGCTCTGCCGGAAGGCGATTGCGGCCGAGGCGATCGCCGCCGCCGGCGCCACTGGCGCTTCCGCCCCAAGCACCAACACGGGGAACCCCCGTGCGCCAAGCCTCGTGGTCCGCGCCCGCGCAGAGTGTGCAACACATGGGAAGCCTTGGTTTAAGGTCAGTCGCGACGCCAGAGTTACGGATGGGGAAGTGGGAAATGCAACTAAGCGAATGAGGAAAGTGGGAACATCTCGCGAGAATCTGGCGTGGACTTGGTTCGAGGAGAGAGCTACACTTGAGAGATAGAATGCCTTGTGGGAAGCGTGGCGTGGGTGGCGTGGACTTGATTTGAGAGAGCTGAAATTAGAGATGGGTTCAATGATGAAACCATATTCATCCGTGCAGTCCTTAGCTTTAAAAAAAAAAACCCTTCGAACCTTTCCTTCACATTTTGAACCACTTCATTCACACATCATGGAGTTTGTTTTTTATCTAATTCTTCTTCTTTCATTACTGAAGTCTCAAGAATACATTGTGATATTTGACATTCGACATCTACAATGTTCTAATTAATTACATAACTTACTCACTGATAGCCAAGGTTCTCTCTACATTCTCTCCTTTACCATTTACTCAATGAAGTCAAGAGGGAGCGCAGCGTTAAGCCACACGGTTGTGGAACGGGGTAAACTGAACCGCGTTACCACTTTGAAACCGCATTCCTTCCCAGCGAGTAGCGGTTTTCGGACACATGTGTGCACGCCCCCCGCCGGATCAGTGTCCGCTTTACAAATCGCTGGAACCGATACTTCCTCCCCCTCACTCCCCTCGCGCGCCGCGTGGGCGTGATTGTTTACGGGCCCTCGCACCCCTCCGCTGGCACGGGGTCACCCAACGGGGGGTGGCTTGGGCTCGCGGTCGGTCGGAACGGGAAGGAGGCGGGAGAAGGGCAGGGGAGGGCGGTCGGCAAGGAAGAGCGGTCGGCAGGAGAGCGTCGGGCCGGAGGGCGGTTCCGGCAGGAAGAGGCGGCTCGGGGCAGGACGAGCGGTCGGGCAGGAGGGCGGTTCGGCCGGAGGGCGGTCGGCAGGAGGGCGGGTCGGGCAGGGCGCGTCGGGCAGTGAGAGCGTCGGACTCGGGCAGGAGAGCGGTCGGCAGGAGAGCGGTCGGGCAGGAGACGTAGGCCGGACGGTCGGGCAGGAGAGCGGTCGGCGCGGAGGCGGAGGAGGGTTTCGGGAG